TGTTGTTCCTCATCTCAATGATGTAATGCAGGCTTGCTCTCCGTACAGGATGGATGTGGAGGTGAGTGCTGGCAGGGACAGCACCTGGAGAGGAGCAGCAGCAGCAGCAGCAGCAGATGATGCAGGAGGAGGAAGCATGGAGGCTCAGGTCGTACCGCTGGAGCTCTACGATTCTGCAAGAGCCAAAATAGACGCAAATCTCCGCTGGCTGTTTGCTAAGGCTTATGGTATAGGTAAGGCTGTTTTTTTTTCTTTTGTTGTTGTTGTTGTTGTTGTTGTGTGGTAATAATGTATGTACTTTGGAGCAATGCGCTAATGTGCACCTTATTCCTGAAGTGATTTTTTTATTCTCACAAAATTACAGCAGCTGCGTATGTTACTGCCAATACGTGCAGTGTAGACCTTTTGCATGGTGGGTGCTGAATGCAAGCCCTGTTTATTTATTGAGTCAGAGCAATGGCACCATCACACCTTTGTTAGTCTAAGGCAAAAGTTAACTTAACTAAATAGCTAGTTTATTGCAGTACTTTTATTAGCTGGTATTCAGCAGACCTGGTAGTTTACAATTTATGCAAAAGCAGCACATAATGCTGTCAAACACACTGATTTAAACTGTACAAAAAAAAGGGTTTTAAAATCCTCTTTGTATGTTGGTGTATGTTTGTAACACTGGAGAGTGTCAACGCTAGAGATAAAGGCAGTTATTAAAGGCAGAGAAAGACGGCATGTAATGCAACCAATAACCCAAGTAGGGTTCTTTTGTTTATTCTAAATGCTGAAATAATTGATGAATTAATGACTATTTGATCAATTGAAATGTAATCTTTAAGCTGCGTTTTGGTATAACAAAACTGGATACACTGAAAATCTGTGCAGGGTTTAACTCTGGTAATTGTTTGGCCCAGGCTTTAAGCCACTCATTTCCTTATGCATCTCCTTTCAAGGTTAATTAAGTTAGTAGATGACTGCCCTCATGATAGTCACTTGGATTTAATATAGACACAATGCATCTGTTTTTCTCTTGGAAAAAAAAAAAAAAAGATTTTAAAAAGGTAGATCTGTAATCCTTTGTTTGAAGGTGAGTTGAATCATTAAACTGCATAAAATGCTGCTGGAAACTTTTTCTGTAAACACCAGTTCAAGTCAAGTCAAGTTCTCTTTATTGCCATTTCAACTACCGGTATAAACAAAGTACACAGTGAGATGACATTTGGTTACTCTCCGCGATGCTAAAGGTAGAAATAAAATAAGATCATCGCAATCCAGCGTGGTCTGCCCGGAGCCAACCTTTACCTTCAGTTTCATATAAATAAAGAAAATCCTGTATTAGATGAACCAGTCAGATGTATTATTGGCATAATAGGGAATTGAACTCATGCTGACTTTATATGGTTGATAACAGCATTCGTTACAAAAGGAAAATAAATATACAGTCTATCTACATCTCCAGTTCCCAAATGTAGTCGTCTACAACCTTCCTTTCTGCATTAATAGGTTTGTAAGTTCTCACACTTGCTGAGTCTCAGACTTTTATTTGATTGTTGTCTTTTTTCCCCCCTGTGTCCAATGTGTATACAAGCTTCTTGAGAAACAGATAAACTACAACTTGAAATCATAGTTGAAGTCTTTCTGTTCTTGAGTAGAGACTCAGGCCGACCTCTCGTGATCAGCCCAAGTCTTTTTTTTTTTTTACACAGGTCACTAGCCTTGACAGCTCTGACTAGACGTGCTCAAACATTCAAAATGATGATCACGCCTTATCGCATGGCTGCAAGTAGATGTCTGGAAATTATTTCTCCATGGATGTGGGTTTTTGTGTCAACCAAAGACTGCTCTTGGGGGAATGTGAGCAGGAGGTCAGCTGTGCCGTTCATGCGAGCCCACAAGTCCTTGTGATTTTATTATCAGACACAGAGGCAGTCATTCAGTACAGGAAAAGTCTTTGTCATCATTTCAGGTTTATGGGTACTGTAGCTTTAGTGTTTCCTACCATGTAGAGCTGTCTTCTGTGTTGCAGTGGATGACTCAGGAAACTGGAATCTAAGAGGGGAACAAAACAATAAGAAATCAAAGCTTACAGTGAGGTAAACATTAGCTGGTCATCAAAGATGGCGTACTAAATACTGTTCATAATATAGGAACAGTCATCAAAGACACACCTTAGTGTTGAAAGTGAAGATACAGCCTTCTCAAATTGAAAAAAATCTTACATTCGCGATACGTTTTGCAATATATGAACTTGATTGATTACACATTTATCTCCCAACAGCTGGAGCATGTTTATTCTTAGAGATAATCTTGTTAATGTTGGAAATATCTTAAGCACTGTTTTACTGATTAAAGCTTTACCTCTGTGTTACCCAACGCTGGGCTGGGCGCTTTACAGGGCACAGATCAAATGCCCATTATAAACACCAAACCATGACCTTTTATCGCCCGTCAAGCTTCGTGCTTTCATTAATCTGATTGGCTCCTCCTGACGTCAGTGTGCCAGGGACTCCGAGGAGCCCTTTGCACCAGGAGTCTGAATTCATACTATGCTGTTTGAACTCTTGACTTGTTGCACAGAATGGACGATACACTAATATTCACAGATTTAATTATTAAAAGAAATTGAACAAGTTCATACTGAACAATCGGGCGGTGCTCCAGTGTTAAACACATGGTGGGCAATGATTAACCTCAGTCAAGACCTGAAGTCATTACAGTTCTTTTTAAACGACCATAGTAACATTTTATCTTGTGAGAAGGTTTGATCCCCCCCCAGAGGTACAACAGAACGTAATACTCAGGTTATTTCCTCAACGGGGTTGCCTTTTACTCAATAATGAAAAGATTCCAGGTTTAACTTGTGGAATATTTCACAGTTGTGAGAACACGCACTTTATCGGGCTGTGTACTTTAAAAGAAATGAAGTGTAAAGACTTGCAAACAACAGGATTGTAATCGGCAACTGAAAGCTGAAAAAACTTTGCAGGATGCCAACAACTCGTGTCAGATTTGGACTTGTTGACTAGAATGTATATTTAAAGAAGGGGCTCACTGTTGGCATGTCTAAATGACTTGGCAGCCATCAATGGTAGAATAAATGTAACTGATAGCGTAAACAAGGGTTTTATAATTCCACTGACAGAGGAATTGCATTATTTCTGTGATTGTTTCTCTTAATAAGCTTAGTATTGAGGAAACACAGATTTAATGGAGTAGATTGTTGCTTCCTGGTCAGACATGCTATTTTTGAAATGCCATGTGTTAATGTTTTGTCCTGTAGATGAACTCCTATTTCTCTGTTATTGTTATTGTGATGCAGTACCGATATAGATATGGAAATAAGGTTTAGGCAGGAATTAAACATTTGGTCAACAACATGCTATGACCTCATGTATGCATACATCTTAGTTTGTTGTTCTTGGAAACATATTTCCAGATTATAAACTTCAAATCTGTATAATCCTACACTTATGTTGAATTTAAACAGCTTCTGTAAACAAGCCAAAAACCTGTCAGGAGTGTACAATGTTTGTTTTTCTGTGATACCATCCCAGATAATAGAAAACTGGTGATAGTAATTGATCCTGACAAAATTTCCAAAACACTGTTATTAGATTAGAGAGCAAACGGTGAGGCACAGGGACACAGGGAGGATGGTGTCGTTCATGTATGCTGGTGTGAGAGTCAGGACAGTCACATGTTTAAGTGTTTAATGGGATTGGACCTGAGGATTTGTGTCGTTGTCCAACATGGACTGTTTGTTTGGACAGTTTTATTGACCTTTTGTTCATTTGAGATTGAAGGTGGAAAATCCTTTTGAAATATTGTGTTTTTAGAAACCAGAGAATTTGTTTTCTTTACATTATTTTGGATTTGAGATTAAATTGATTCTTAGAGTTGACCTACATTACTAGACGACTCGTATATATATTGTTGTTCATGCACTTGCATCATCAAAATGTTTACAACAATATTCAAACACAGAGATCGGCATTATTCAAGACAATGGTTCATTTCATTTTGCATTGGAAACACGAGGTGAAGTTGGTGAACTGTTACTAAAATGTTAGCTAACTTTCTTTGTGGATAACTCATTTGATCAAACAACTCAACTTAAAGAAACATGCCTAATTGGAAATTAAGTTACTTTACATACATTTTCATTTTTTTATAACGGAGACAACCACTTTCAGGATCCCACATGGCTTTGAAACTAGAGGGGTATTCCACAAAGCGAGTTCAGCAAACCAAGGCTTTGTTTAAGGAAGCTGGCTCAGCAAAGCCTAGAGTTGTATTTAGAGATGTCAGGTATCACAGACTAGTTAAAACTTCTGCTGTCAACTCAGGCTATCTGCTTCAGGATGTGTGCACGCTCACACTAAAGGGGGTGTTGAAGGCTTTATTTGATGCTGTTTCTGCCGCACAAAAAGGAACGCCTCTGTCAGACTGAAATAATGAAAAAGGGAAAGACTGTGGTTTAAAAAAACATCGACTCCTTATCCTGACACTGTTTGGAACATGTCATGACCCACTCTCTCTACTCATATTTTAAGTCACGCTTAAGTAGAGGTGGGGAACAAAATTGATTTATGTAAAAATAGAGATTCTTATCTTGTGAGATTTTAAATACGATTCATAACTTCCAAAAATCTTCTTCTTTTTTTTAAGCTTATCAGTCACTCCCTTCTAAGTGCTAAGGCTAGCTCTTTAACTCAGTCGGATGCCAAATAGAGCAGCAAGAAATTCAGCCAGTCTCACAGATGACTGGAGTAGATCCTGACGTATGTACTAATTCAAAAAAGACTTTGAATCATGAATCCAGAATCGCTTTGAATCAAAAATAGATTCGAATCGTGACCCCAAGAATCGAAATCGAATCGCGAGACACCCAAAGATTCCCAGCCCTACTCTGAAGCGATCTTATCTAGTAAAGGCAGAAAATCCCCCAAAATAATCTATACAAAATAAAATATACAGCTGTTATTAAAAATGCTCAGATATATTGACATGCTTGGTCAGCCTCAACGAAGCTATCCCCTTTCTCCAATGGTGTTTTAAAATGGTTTAATGTTGGAATATAAACAATGGAAAAATTATCAAACCTAAAGAGTTGAAACAATGATTATTTTACCAAACCAATATCTATTTCGCAATTACTACTGGTAGCTAATAATGACTCTGACTCTGACTTAATATTTATTATGGGATGCAATCAATTCCTGCACACAATTTTTCAAGGCTGCAGATGTCCCAAACTTAAATGAGAGCGTGCTTAACAATTGTAACACATTATGCAATAAAGATCCCTTTGCAAACGATTATGAGAATCTATATTCCTTCTGGCTAATATATATGTATTGAAAATGTGTTTGACCATTAGTTTATAGTAAGTGGCTTGGGCTAAAAATAAACTTTACGTAACAGAGTAAAAGAACTATACATCAAAAGTCTCAGCCCTTTTAACAGTAGCCCTCACAGATTTACTTTACCAACTAACATTTATTCAGCAGGTCAGACTTCTAATGTTCCTCCAGGGTGCATCGGCTTAAAGGCTGTTTCCCCCAACATACTGTCCTCTAAAGGAGTCTCCATTAAGCCTTCTTATTGCAGAGCATGGCTGTGGCTTTCCCCTGCAGAGCCCAGACTGTGACAGCTCTGCCCTGACTGTCAGCAAGATCTCTGCTGATCAATCTGACCTTCGCTGTGAGACAATAGTAACAAAGGCTTCCCGTGCCCCACCTCCACTTGATTTACCCTCCACACACATGCACACCAGGTCGGGCTTTAATGCGTGGATCAGGTGGATAATAAATATTTAAGCAGAATTAGCCTTAGCATAGGATTAAAGCGCAGCTATCCAATCTATTTCTTCACACCACACACACACACACACACACACACACCTCCTGATATCAGAGGCCGATCCAAAGAACAGGCTCTTAGTGAGGCAATGGGAGAGCAACCCAGCCCCCACCTCCGGCCATGCTGGCATCCCCCATCACAGTCTCCTTGGCAACCGGGGAGGATAAGGCGGAGGGCCTTCTTGGACAGCTGAGGCTGAGGAAGTGGCAGTTTAAAGAGATGTGTGCTGGAGGAAGACATAAAAAAAATGTGTTTTGCCGGGAAAAATACAAATGAGGGTGATAAAAAGAGAGACCTGGAAGCATGTAAGAGGAGCATTTTGTCACATGATCGACATGATTCCATGTCCATATGGCAGCACCACACAGCAGCAGAGAGTGAGATAGATACAAGTAGGTCCACTGTGCCAAGCAAGCAGTCTGCTGCAAAAATCACAGCTCAGGTTTTCACATTGTGCTCAGTTGTAGTCTGAGCCTACAGTGTGGGCTTGTGTGAGTTTGTGTGTGTTTTCCACTAATGGATGTCTCAGTCAGCTTGCTGCTAATGTGAAAGAAAATGAGAGAAAATGCTCTGTTAAGTGTCTTGAGTATTGATGCATCGTCATTGTCTTAATGTTGGCGTTTTAAACCTTCTGCTTATTTTGTTATACAGGGTTTTGATTATTATAGTGGAGTGTCCCTTCTATCTCAATTTATTTAGATGGTCGAATTACTGACTGTTGTGTTCGACAAGGTCACTACAAAAAAGGCAAATGCTCCCTTTAAGAACATTTCAACTTTCAAACAAGTCCGACCCATATATGCATTCTTGTTTACAAAATACGGAACCCCATTTTTCATTTGAATTCCTTAACATTTTGTCCCAATTATATGCACAACTCAGAGTTCAAGTTTCTATCTCAGCCAGAGAAAAGGCCTCCATTTCTGCCTGAATCTGCCCAGAAAGCACTGGAAGTTAAATTACGTGAGTGTTTCAGGTGCTAACGCTGGATTAACAGCTCCAAAGCATATAAAAATAGCTGCCTATTGCCATGAGCAGGTAAACATGGGGCTGGCTGGGACAACACCATCAGCTTAGGCATCACCACTAATTCCTGTTAGCTCATTGGCTTAAAGTCTTTGGTTCACCTCTCTGCCATTAGGGACGCTACCTGGCAGGTTGTTTTAACATTGACTTTACCTTTGTGCTTCATTCTTTTCCCTGGATTTTTCTTAGACAGTCTAATACCTTGAGAGTTTGTCTCCTGGGAGCTTGTGTGTTATGTAACATGGTGAGGCATCAGTGGACACGTGTGTGTGTTCAGAAGTATTCAGAGTGAATGCACAACTTTTTTTTTGACTCTTAATTCTTCATTTATTTTTCCAGTGAAAAAACATGAAGAACATAAAATCAGTCATCAATTTTAAGGCCATAACCTAAGTTGTACAATTCACAGGGGATCTTTATACAGTATTTCATAATTTGTATGTTAATCAGAGACAGTGAAAGGGAGGTAAACAGCATTTAAAGCTGTTAGAACGAGTGGGGTAAACCACCAAGCACTTTATTTATTCAATCAAATATTGTTCCATTTTGACCATTTTGCATCCTTTCTCAGTCTCACTAAGGAAGTCAATCTTTCCATCTCACTAATCTCTTTGATGTGTCACAACTTTTATAGATTAAAAAACAACACACTCGCTAACTGAATGTTTGTCTCTTGGACATAATTTAACAGCGAAACACTTTGTACTTGTTTCAGATCAAATACCGGCCGACCTGAGGGACCCCTTCTACACCGACCAGTATGAGCAAGAACATATCAAGCCCCCCATCATCCGCAAGCTGCTGTCTGCCGATCTCTACTGCCGGGTGTGTGGGCTCATCCTGCACGCTGAGCAGGCCGCCTCCCTACAAGGTCACCAGTCTGTCATCCAGGCTCTGTCCAGGAAAGGCATCTATGTCCTGCAGGCAGACAACACACCTGTCTCTCATCTAGACCTCAGCTCGGCTCCCATCAAGATGGTAGGCGGTCTAACTTTATGTCTAGGTATAGCGGAAAGTATACTTTTGCAATCACAAATCAAATGAAGTAGTATTTTGTATCTTAAACTCGGCTTATTTCTTCTGGACTATTAGTTTTGTGATCTATGCATTACCAGTGTGCAGAGAGATTATGAAGCATCTGCATCTTAAAGTATATACCTGCCAACGCCCAAACATTATGTTGGCAGAGTAAATGACTAGTTTGGGAACATAGTGGATCATTAGCTGCTAAAGAGCCAGACATTTCTCTCAGGAGTTGGAGGAGATCAAATCAGAGCTAAAATAATTGTCAATATTGGATTTGTGTTCATCAGGTGATCAGCCATACAACTCCCAGTAAATGCTAATGTTGCTCTGTTTCTCCTGATGTCTAAACCTCTTTGCTAGCACATTACTATAACAACTTTGACATGGTGATTATATAGTTACACCCCACCCTAAGGCTTCTCTGAGGGGCTAACAGCAACCCACAAATTGACCTAATAAAGCACAAAAAAACACCTTAAGAAAGTAAAAAAAAAAAAAAATAATAATAATAATATTAATGAACAGCAAAACAAACTAAATCATTGACAAAAGTCAACAAAGGACTAAAGCAACAAGTGAACTTACAAAATCCTTGTCTGAACCTTTCTGAACTCTGCACTGTAACAGAAGGGGTGAAGGGACAAACAACACAGGAAAACATACAGCAGTAACAATATACGTAGATGTTTTGGTTTTGTTACACAGCCCTCAAACAAACATTAAACTTTCTTTTTTAAGAATTATTCAAAAATTAAATCAAGAAATGTTCACTCTTCTGTAAATCAGGAGGCATCTGCCATCTCTGCAGTTGTACACTGGCAGCCCACACAGTGACTCTGCTTTCCAGAGCCAACTATGAGCCAAGAGTTGTGAATAAATAATGCACCAGCAAATGTGAGTGCTTTGCAGGTTTTCAAAATGTGTAGATGAAATATTAATGAAACAAAATGAACCAAAAAAATGAGCTTGCTCTTTTCTTTAATGTGAACTCCCTCTGCTGGGGTATTAGTCATATTGGCTACAGGTGTGAAAACTCAAAAGGCAACAGGCTGGTTTGAAAGCCGCAGTTTATGCTGTGTCAGGTCTCACTATGCAAGTCACCTTTGCTTATGGCTACAGATTCCTACAAAGCTTTAGTTGTTCATCTGGTGATATCTATGCACTCGTAATTAAAGACGTCCATGTGCAAGGCTTCAAGCAAAACACTGATACTTTTCTTGACAGCTTCCTCAATATCCCCAATCTTTTGTACAAATAACAACCATACAGTAATGAAAAAAATGTGCTGTAAGGACTCTGCATGGAGTCTGAATGTTTTATTCTGGAAGAAGTGCCTTGTTTCCATGGTAACTCAGTGATGGAGCACGTCTTATGGTTGTAGTATCTGTTGGTCTTTTCCATAAAAAAAACACACAAAATACGTACAGCTATGAATAGTGCTTACACAGATTTTAAGCAACATAACTAGATCCATGTTTCTAATGCAAACAATGTATTTGCAATGTAATAACCTTTTTCTGTGGTTGCTCAAAGAAATCTTTTATCCTGTGTCCCTCCAGAGCTCCCACATCCACCTCATTGACGCCCTAATGATGGCTTATATAGTGGAGATGATCAGTATAGAGAAGGTCGTGTCCAGCATCAAGCGTTTTTCCAACTTCAGTGCCTCCAAGGAGCTGCCTTTTGACCTGGAAGATGCAATGATCTTTTGGATCAACAAGGTTAAAAAAACCCCAAAAAAAAAAAAAACACTCATGTTACTGTTCTGCATTTATTTGTTTTCTTTCTATGATGACCTACAATATTATTTTGTGGCGCTGCAGGTGAACATAAAGATGAGGAGATCATCGAAAAAGAGTTAAAAATGAAGCACATCTGCTAGATTCACCCAGTCACCAGAAGGTAAAACACACACTCTTTTTTTCTGCTTTTCTCACTCTCTGTCACTTCGTCTGCTTCTTCAGAGAGAACACTTCCTCTCTGTTAAATAGTCTTTCATAAATGATGTTGATCTCTCTTTAGTGTCCTTCAGGATAGACTTTACACACATGCATCCTTTCCTCACTGCCTGTCTTAACTCTTAGATCTGTAGGCTGAGTCATCGGATTCTGCTTGTATTGTGATCTAATGAGCAGCACACATCATTATTATAGATTCAGACAAAACTTACATTTCCAGAGGATATCATTATCTCAATATTTCATACGTTAGGGGCTTTCAGGGATTTAAATAGGAAGTATAGGTTTACAATCAATCAATCAATCATTATTTGTATAATGTATCTCAAGACACTTTACAGAAAGCAGGTAAAATACCGTACTCCTTGTTTTTGAATATTACAAAAGAGAGGGTAAAAGACCGTACTCATTGTTGTGTTACAAAAGAACAGGATGGATAAGATGCAGGAAGGATTTCTCCTTTGTATTCCTCGGGATCCTGTTGTCCACACGTACTTGCCGCTGGGTTGGAGGTCGGAGCAGGCCGTGCATGAATGAGGACCGCGATGATTATGGCTGGGCGTAAAGGATGTCGGGTAGTAAACGTGTCTTATCACCTCGCTGTAGGTCGGGGGAGCTCCATCTACTCGAGAGCCCTGCTTCTGCTGCCCGGTACAAGGCCTCCTGGGCTTTTAACACACTGACGCCAGCTACAAACAGAAAGGGGAGGGGGGGAGGAGAGAGAGCCGTCTACCATTGAAAATTGAAACTACCCATTAGCAGTTCCTGTTTGCAATCTACCCATAGATGTGCATAAAAGTCAGAACTGCATACTTTGATAATGGCAGTTCACTATAAGGCTGTTGTTATTAACAGAATCTTTTCTATATTTTCTGTCTTGTTTGATGGATGTTTATAAGCTATGCAGCCCAGACCTATTGATATCCTCGAGGAGTGTTAGTCAAGCTGAATCTGCAACTCTGTTCGTCCTGTCTGTGTGTTTATATTCGACTGAGTAATGACTCAACTCCCCTACGCCCTCTGGGGGAAGTACCCTTCACAGTTACAAAACATTTGCACTATCTTGACTCACACTTGTCTTTTAAGGATCACAGTTTAAAGACAAGTGTTAGCAAAGTGTCTTGTTGGGCTGCTTTAAAGAGGGTAAAAGGGTTTGAAATATAAACACACACAAAAAGCCTCGACTCATTTCCTCATTGGCATGTTCTGTTCAAGCTAGAAACTCTTGACTCCTTCTGCCTAACCCTGTCTTTAAAATCAGATCTGTCTCCATGGTAACAGGGGATGAGATTTGATACCTGTCACTGTTTATGACCCTGAATTGTCTGCTGCTCTTCCTGTTTGTGTCTCCCCAACTTTTCCTCCGTTCTCTGCCTCTTGGATACTAGTCTCCCTCCAAATGGTACTGGAAGCTTGTACCTGTAAGTGCAACCTCTAGCAATCCTCTGTGCGAGTGTGTGTATGTCTGTTTTGTGTATGTGTGTGTATCAGTGTGAGTTCAGGTGGCACAAAAAGGAATGATAGCAAATGGCCAGTATAACAGGAGATTGAGAGATTCAAATGTACAATGTTGTATTCAGTGAAGACAACACAGTGCCCCCCTGGTGGCAAAAGAACAAGCTCAACTTTTTGCCCTTTCTTTAAAATGTTCTTTTCATTGACTCCTTCATCAGTTCCTTCTACCTTCTAGCTGAGCGTTAACCCCAAAACCGCATCCACACAACTCTACACCCTTCTTTACTTTTTTTCTGTGTATGGGAGTGCTTAAAAAAGTCCACTCATCCATTCAAGGCCCAACTTATTTCATTAACTTCCTTCCAAACATTTCCTTCCATTTCATTTCATTTCTTTCTTCCCTCACCAGCCTGATATATTGCATGCCCTCTCCCACTGCTTATTGGAGCCTTTGGAGTTTTCACACATGGTAATGTACTCACCATTCCACTCCCTCTTACTTTCATCCTTAGCTTTTTTTTTT